TGCATGTTAACAGGGAGCAAAATATATCAGAGGGATCTTTAAAGGCTTGGAAGAATCCAAGCTGTGAATGCCACCAGAAGGGTTGGTCCGGGCTTTGATTGGCTCAGATACAGCGGCTTTCAGAAGTTGTTTTGAGCAGTCAAAGTTGCTCATTGCTGAAGGGGATTTTAGTCACAGGGAGGCTGAGGGAAATTTCTCTGGATGTCTTGGTGGGCCTGCTTAAGAGCCATTCCCCCTCCCCGTCCCTCTGACTTTCCTTGACATTTCACACAGCGACACACATACACACGTATTGTCAGTGATGAGTCGCACATTGCCTTTTTCCTCATCCATTTGTCAGTGCTGCAGAAGATGCACGCTCATTCCAAATCCATACGGCGTTCTGTTTTTGTTTTGTTTTTGTCTTCTGCGACTGCAAGCCTCAACTGCAATAAAAACCAACGACTGCAGAGGCATATAGGAAAATTTATTTTCTTGCCGTACTTGCTTACCTACAGTATGTACTACCCAGTCACTGTGAACAAAAAAAAAAAAAAAAAAAAAGATTTCCTGTGCTCCTTGAAGCTGCCTTTCGAGCACAAAACCTTCACAAATCACTGCCACCTCAGCTCAACATTAATGTAAATTTATTTCTCTGTTTTGACAGAAACCTTGGAAAGTCTGGCCTGCGCGTCTCCTGCCTTGGATTAGGTGAGATCATGACACAATCTGGAAAGCAGCACACATGATGAATTTATGTGCAAAGCAAATAACCTTTCTGCTTTATTTTTACATTACCTTTTAAAAATAAGAAGGCACCACTGCTACTTCAGAAAGTGAATAATTTGCTCAAACTCTGAACATTTTTAGGCTGACATTTTACATTATGTGCTATTTTAGCACATGGCATTGTAATGACAAAGAAATTCCTCAAAAAGTTTATTCATATCAGTAACTCAATTCAAGAATCGAAATGCACATATTATGTAGAATCATTATGCACAGACTTGCGTAAAAACCATCTATATTTGGTGTGACTGTCTCTCAAAGCTAAAAAATACAAAAAATCCAAAGGGCTTCTCCGAAAATTTACATATTACATAAAACCAATTTGAGAAAAAACAAAAAAGATTTCAAGAGAAATATTAGCATCCATTTGCAAAACACCCTCATTCTCGGTTCTATGAATTACTGTAACATTGAGGCACAAAGCCTGTGGCATTACAGAGGTATTAATGGAGCCCAGGCTGCTAAAAGAAGAAATGTAATTCCTTTGACATTTTGTGTTGTTCACGAATGGCTCAACACAAGAATCGTGACAGTTTCCATGAGCATTAATTATTTATTAGTATCGCAACAGTATCCATAGCGGGAAGCACCGACTCCAGCTGCAACATACTCTACTAATCTCTTCACATTTAATTCAAGGTTGCATTTTTTTTCCTGCTGCTAATGCAAATTTTTTTGAACAGAAATTTTCTTTCCACTGAATTTTCCTGTAATATCCTTGGCTTACCTCACTGTGTGAACCAGCAGATTTGAACTTCGGTGGCTCTACCTTTCAGATGAAAGGGGCTAGTCGACTGTCTTCTGGTCGACTGTTAAGTCAGCAGGGTTAGGGCTAGACCTTTACTTAGTTAAAACAAAACATTCCTGTATTAAAAATACTAAATAAATAAATGTTTTCAGTATATCTCTCTGTGCATGATGATTGTATATAACAAAACCTGAATTACTGCAACTACTTTAAAAAGTCTTATCGGTTTTATTGCTACTTCGGAAACTTTTTGGGGTTTGAACTTGTTTCTCGTAGAATACGTTCATATGTTTAGAATATATGCCGCCACTTCTTACCTATCCATTAGTGTGTGTTCATGATGTGGTCCTGCCTCCTTGTCACCCTCTGCAGGAACATGGGTGACATTCGGTGGACAGATAACAGATGAGGTGAGAGCAGATGGATCCGTGAAAGCTTGAGCTTAAAAACATTCACAGTGAAGTTTCCTTTCCCAGAATGCTCAGCAAACCCAGTTTTACCTCCTCCTTACTGTAAATCCGCTGCCGACAGCTAAATAATTCACCTTATCAAATGACACTGTAGCCATCTTTAGTCTTGGGAAGGCAGATGAATAATTAAGAGGCTGTAATGCTGCACATCAGCTCATCGTGGCCCCCCTGTCTGTTTCGTACCCCTTGTTTCATCAACAGATGGCAGAGCAGCTGATGACTCTGGCCTATGAAAACGGCATCAATCTGTTTGACACAGCGGAGGTCTACGCTGCTGGGAAGTGAGTATATATCCTGTATCGCTGTGACGGCAAACATTGCCAAGCTTCTAGTTGCTGATGGGTTGTGAATCCTCAAAGTACAGATACTTTACTGGCTCACTGTTCATGCCAGGTGTGAGTCATGAAGTGGTGTGCAGTCATGAAGAAATGATGCACTTAATTTGTGCTGCAGTAACAAAAAGCATGCTTTATCATTGCATGAACACTATCCGTCTCCCTCTCTGCAGTTCATAAATATTCTGTTCATGCCTCCTGCTAAAAACATGCTCTGATTACAGGTCAGAGCGATGACCGGTTCACACCTAAAATACATCTGGGCTTGCTTCTCAAGTAATCAGTTATGATTAGATGTTCCTGCCAGGCTTTTTAGTTAAACAAACGTGCGCAATATTTTATCATAAAAACGAACCTGGGAAAGAAAAACGAGAACAGGTGCAATTTTGCAAGCTGTAATCATTCCAGAGAAGTAGTTTTTAAACTTTTTAGGATTTTAAAAAATACTCTGCTTTCACTTCAGTTGGGCTTTGAAAAAAAGATTTTTTTTTTATTTAAGAAAAGTCCGTTGAAGGACAAAATGTTTTTTTTTTTTTTATGGCAATCAAGAAAGAAAATCAATAAATAAAATTGGAACATTAGGCACTAGTTATCTGACCTTCAAACCTTAGTACGTTTTTGTCTGCAGTGAAACCCGGCAATTTTACAAAATCTCAACCTTTTTTGGAGGTCTTGGTCTTTTTTTAAAATAATAATGTGACCTGATTGTTAACGTGCAGGTTTTATTTTCACTGCCAGAACGGAAAGAAACAGGGAAAATCCATGAACCAGAGGTGGCACATCAGATGATAAGAACCACTGACTGCACTTTAATTGTTCATAAATTGTCCATATTTGCACTTATCCAGAAATGAAATCATGACATAGCCTTGTATACATAAATACTTTGAACCTGCTTTTGGATTAAAAATCCTAGCTAAATTGCTTACATTAGGGCCTCTGTGCTGGATTATTTTCAAAGCTGGAAATAGATCATTTAAAGCTGGATAAAGCCTGGGTTTTATGATAGAATTGCATTGAATTTTATGTAAAAAGTATTTTCAACTAAATGTTCACCTTGAAAATTTAGTTGAATCACAAACTTCAATCTATTCTTCCAGAATTGTTTGTGTTAAAAAGCAGTGTGTAATTGTGAAGTGTACGGATATTTATAAAGTGAGTAAATGCAGATCTGTGTGTACAACTGTATTCAGCCCTGCGTCAGCATTCGGTGCAGCCGCCGCCGTTTGCTGCAATCACAGCTGCCAGGCGGCGTTTGGTATATTTTTGCTCATTCGTCCTGCACCTCCTTCCACATGTTTGCTGTCCACTATATGGCTTGAGGCAAAAACAACCTGGTGTGACTTTCTTTTAACAGTGATTTTGCCTCTCTCCCATAGCAAGGCCAGATTGGTGCTACAACTGTCCTGTCAAAATGTTACCCCACCTGAGCTGTTCATCTCTGCAGCTTTTCCAGACGTACCATGAGCCTTTTGGTTTCATCTCCGGTACATTTTCACCTGGTTTAGGAGAACAGCCAAGCCAGTCATTGTGTTGGTGTCAAAGGACAAGTACAGGTTTATGTGAAGTAATCTGGCCTTATGTATGTCAGCAGCATGTAAAGCTCCAGCCAGTAGGATGTCGGCGCACCCTTAATGACCCGTCTTCATGCATTCAAGGCTGGATGCTCAACTCAACTCATCTCTCTTCTGTTATGTTCAGTTTTTTTTTTTTTTTTTCACTCAGGCGGCAGAAATTCCCAAAAAGTGCAGCTCGTGTAAATCACATGGTTGAAAACTTTACCATCATCGGAGAGATTAAAAATTCTAACAAGCAAAAAGACTCTGAACATATTTAATAAAACATAACTGCTCTATTTCTGTCACATTATGTTTGTTTTTCTGATGTTTTATTGCATCTTAATTATTTAGTTCACCCTCTCCTTGAATATTGAGTTAGCAGTTAGCGCCACTAACTGCTTTTCTTACCAGCTTTGAAATATTTTCAAATATTTTTTGGGTTAAATACACTTGTTTAGCCTCCAGAACCCACTAATGGGTCTCCATTTTTTGTATGAAATAAAAGTAATTCTGGGTTTAGAAGACGAGCGGTGATGATATTTTGACCCCTCTTGCCTCTCTCTGACTCAGGTCTGATATGTTTTGAATTCCATTATGGATTAATTTGACTTTGTAGTGACTCGGAGGCTTTGAAATAATCTAAGGGATAATCCTTGGCAAACAGCACATCTGATTAACTGCAACATGTCCGTTTTTAATCCCCTGAGAATATTTGTTGCGATCTGCTCTGTTTTTGAAAGATGCATCAGCAGAATATTTAGGATTAGAAATAAGGACAACCACCGAAACATCAATCCCTTTTTTCCCTAAATCCTTTGCGGCTGATGCACGTCACCTCTCCGTGTTGTTTTTTTATGTCAGAACCAGGAAAACGAGCACAAAGCTGATCTTTGACACAGCCGCAGTCCCTCCTCTGTCTTTGATCTGTAAAACAACCTGCAGTTTAAACACGGAGACAAATCTGGCATGTGAGAGCGTTTGTGTGACAGCAGCTCAGTATTTGTTGCACAGGTGTTAATCCTGGCAGCACCGAGGAGCTTACATGACTCACACATACACACGCACGCTAAAGAGTTGAACACACTTTGCACATGAGTGTGGAAAAGGCTTTCACGTGAAGCCGGAGGATGAGTTGGCTGCAGAGTCAGCTGCTTTAATGTTGATACTGTACTGTAGCATGTGCAGACTAGCTTGACATTAGGCTGCTTATTGTAGCTTTAGAAAACAAAAATCACATCACATAGACATATGCAGTGTCGATGTGTGTATGTGTGTGTGTGTATATATATATATATATATATATATATATATATATATATATATATATTTTTTTATTATTATTTTTATTTATTTATTTTTTTTTTTTTTTTACATTTTATCACTTTAAAACCACAATTTGGAATGAATTTGTTTATGATAAAGCTGGATGAGTTCTTGTATTTATTTGTTTATTGCTATAACTGACTAGCTTCTCTGTACTAATGCAAAGGCCCCTCTTTTTCAGAAGAAGAGGAAAAAAAGATAAACATGTGCAACTAAACATTATTGCTGCAGTTATCAGCAGACACACACATGGTCTGACTATTTAAAAGTCTGAAAGAAATGTTCAGAGCAGCGTTCTCTTTTATGGCTTCTTTCCTGCTGAATGCACCGAAGATGGCTGACGTGCAAAACGGGTGACGAGTCGGCTGCACAATTATGGGGAAATCTCAAAGCAATACAGCCTTATTCATCCATGAAACACGCAGCATTATATCATGGCTCCCTCTATCAGTCACAGCATCGGTTCTGCAGCATAAAAAAACTAATCAACGGCCGGTTGTAGAAAGCCAGCATGCTCAAGGCAAACTGCACCTTATGTTTGGGCGCTCAAATCACTCACTTTACACTAGGGCAACCCTCCAGGTACGCGTGGGAGACACGCACTGTTACTGTAAGCTCACACAGGCAGGATTTATTTTTTTCTGAAAATATTGTGGCTCCAGCAGGCTGGATGTGAAGCAGCAGCACAGCTAAAGCAGAGGTCGGGTTGATGATGTTTGGATGCGCCGGGAGAATCCGGCATAACCACTGGAGCAGGCAGGAGAATGTTTTAAATGTTTTATATCTTAAATAAGTAACCAACAAACAAGTAATTGTTTGAATAATAAAAAAGCACTCACGCACGGGAGCGATAGAAAGAAACCACTCAGACAAACAAAAGAGAAGCAGAGTTCAATTTACAATGTTTATTACAATGTTGACTGACTAAGAAAGCCACATCTATTTAGAATGTCTCGTTTTTATCCTGCCATGCTATTGTTACGATTTAAATGTTCGTTTCAAAGTATCTGGGAAGTTTAAAGCATAAACATCTCCACATGGGTAAAATCCGTTAAGTAGCATCAATAAAATCAGCTGCTTCATAGAAGTAGAACAATAAACCCTGGGCTGGGTAATTAGACCCCAAACACAGAATACTGATGAACAGAGTAACTAACGCCTGACATGCATATTGACATGTGGTCAGGAAGGAAGGCGGGATCGAACCCACAACTTTCTGATTGCTTTTATTGGAGCCACAGCCGCTCCGATAAGAAGCAGATATAATCCAGCTCTGAGGCAGTTTTCATTCACATGTAGTCACTGTTTTGCAGGACGCTGATCACTTTTAACTCCTCTGTTGCTCTTTACCTTCTGTGCTATAACTGGAGAAGCAGGGATCATAGTATTCTGGCCCATTTTTTCAACATTTTTTCAAAAAAAAAAAAAAAAGTGCAAAAATGCAGGTTTCTGTCTGTATGTATCCATCGTCATGAAGCAAAACTGATCAAACCCGGGGCTGATTGCATTTTTTGTGTTGAAGCTCGTCTAAACTTTTGCCTTGACCGCCTGTCAGAGCGTCTCTCTGCTCTGGGTGTTTGACGCTAACAGATACTGGTCACTGCTTCCAACCTCCGTTGTCTCTGTTCACCTCGGTGTCCAAAAGTCTTTTTGTATCAAACGGAGCAGCCAGGTGGCGTCTCATTGTTTGTCAGAGCGAGAGGACCTCACAGACATCCCAGAGAGCGCTCTCTGCCCGGCCCTAATGAGCGCCATGTTGATCATAATGTGGTTCATTAGCACCCCTTCAGCTGCTAATGAGCCACATAGCGGTGGCTCCGACCCCGCCGACTCTGACCTGCCTGCTGATTCGCACCATCAAATCCTAAACAGGTGTTCCTTAGAACCAAAGCCTCCCCTCTTATTGTGTGCACTCAGAGCCAGACTGCTTCCTTTTTAATCCAGAAATCCAACCTTAACACTCCCATCATCGCAGCACTATCTTTCATCTAATCTGCTTGTCTCCGTCCGCTTCGCAGGGCAGAGGTGGTTCTCGGGAACATCATAAAGAAGAAAGGATGGAGGTACGAGGCACACCTTTAATCGACTCTGGTGTTTGTTTGTTTTTTTTTTTTTATTTCTGCCGCAGCCCGCCGGCATATCTTGTATCATCTCTTTTCTCTAACATAATAGGAGGTTGTGTAATGTGTGTGTTGTGATCCGGAACAGCAAGGTCTCAGTCCACAAAACACAAGGTTAACACGGGCCTTGACTCGAGTGTTCCTTCTCAATGAGGCTGAATAATGGATTAACTTCTTGTCGATCTGGGATTAGCGTTTGTAGGTTGAGTGAGATGGAGGTCTACTCCCGCACACGTCAGTGCAACAAATAATAGTAATAAAGTACGGGCGCATTATTCTCCTAAGGATGTGTCTAAGCCATCTATTATAGTGTGTGCTGCAATATCAGACCTGTGTCTTGTGTGGGTTAAACACATTCCTCCTCTGTGTTAGTTATCGTCTTTCTGTTCTCAGCGAGTCGGTGTGGCAGCTGTTCTAACAGATGTGCTGTCATTCTCCATCTTTAGACGCTCCAGTCTGGTGATAACAACGAAGATCTTCTGGGGCGGAAAGTAAGTTTTTTATCTGGATGCCGAGTGAAAAACTATCTCCCTGTGTAATTTCTCCTGACTCACCCGGTGCCGGTAATGGGATCATGTGTCATCTGTTGTCAGGCTCTTTTCAGTAAAGCTGAAAACGTCTCTCATATTTCACAAAGGATCAAATGATGTCCTGTCAGCACCAGGAGATTCTCGCTGTACATTAGGAAAAACAAGAGCGATCTGATTGGCTTTATTTAAAACATAAAGAAAATAATAGAATACTGAATCTTGAATTCATTGCAGTTGCAAAAATATCTGACAAAATTTGATTTGTTGAATGTCACTGAAAAGTATATTGATTTAAGTAAGTCGATTTAAAAAGGGAAACTCAAAGATATTTATCACACCCAGTGATATATTGAGTTTCTAAGAAAAATAGTGTGTTGCCTAATATTTTTTTTAAAAAGTATGCACAGAATACTTCACATTTTTCTCCATTTTGCTCCCTATGAGTTAACACAAGCTTAACTAGCGCATGTTCACTGGTTGATTATTTCTTCTAAACGTCTCAGGAGTTGAACCGGCAGCTTTTTTGGGTTAACCAGCAGGCAGCAAGTGGCAGAAACGCCCAATAACTTTTAATAATCCAAAGTTTTTCTTCTCGTGTTTTTTTGCAGAGCCGAGACTGAAAGAGGTTTATCTCGAAAACACATTATAGAAGGTAAGCATCGTTGCAGCGTGTCACCGGATTAAAAATGATGAATAACTTCCTAATTAGCAGCTTCAGGTTGAGGGAATCAAAGCTGCATTTGGAACAATAACCGAGTTAAGCTGAGAATATCCTCCCTGTTATTGCTCATGCACTTGAACATTGTAGATGTGGGAGCAGACAGAGACTTACTGTGGGGTTTATTTTCAGGTTTAAAAGCTTCTTTAGAAAGACTGCAGCTAGACTACGTGGATGTGGTTTTCGCCAACAGACCCGACCCCAACACACCTATGGAAGGTAATTCTGTTTGTCTCGTTGGATTTATAACTTTATTTTGGGTTTTCTTTTCCGTTTTTTATATTACACACACACACACACACATATATATATATATATATATATAGGTATTAAAAACAGCCTCCTGTTCGTCTCTATGACTACTGCAGTGTGAGGACTTGGATGTACAATCCTCCTGTAACTGAAACGTCTATTTTTAAACGCCTCCTGTGGTCCGGGTGCTTCCACCTCCACAGTCGGAATGATGATAGATGCTGATGCTGGAGACCTTTAAATGGCAGAGTTGCTAACTGTGTGTGGGCTCAGCTGGACGCCCAGCGTCCATCTGCTGCAGCGGTAGCAGTTCCTCCCAGGGTTAAAGTTGAGCCTGAGGTCATCTTTCTGCCTTCGGCTTGATGCTTCGCTGTGTCTGGGATCTTCTTTCTCTGTCTTATTTCTGAAAAATAGTTTTACTTTTTAAAATATTTATTTATTTTTGTTGCCCATCTGCCTTGCGACGACTTCTTCATATGGATAGCTTCAAGGTTACTCATGAGTTTACAGTGGGTAAACCATCTGGTGTACTTTTATTTTGGCGGTAGCTGAGCGGGTAAGCAGGGTGAAAAAGGAGGTTTTAACGGCTCCTCTTTCACCTCAGAAAAACGTTCCTAAGCCTAAGGATGATAAAAAGGGCCGATTTCTCAGGAGCAGGGCATCCGTAAACTTAATAGATGGATGCGGGATTACTGAGGGGTTGATGCAATCTTTTTTTTTTTTTTTATTACACTCCTGCACTTGTGCTCTTGTCTGGGAAGCCCGATTGTTATCTAACCCGTTTCATGTTTTGCTCTGCAGCCTCACACACAAAACAAACTGTCACCCCAGCCAACGAAGAGACGGAAATTAGAGCCGGGCGAAGGGAGATTTCATTTGGCACGCGTCAGCTCCGACTCCAAGCGGAAATTCCGACCTTTAAATAAAATATAGTAATGCAGGGACACAATGTGTCGAGATAAATTTCTTTAATATTCACCGTGCACGTTAAAGGGAGGCGTATTTTTAACCCTCCGTGCTTAAAATACGCCAGCTTCCATCCTGTGTGTCAGCCCACTTTGTGCACGATTAAAAATCTGAACTGGTGAACGTATGGCTGTCATCTCCTATTCATGTCACTTGGCTCCCGTTTCATGTTGCACGCTTCAAATTTAAAGCAGATCCTTGTAAATATTAACGTGAACGTCATTCCAGTCTTGCCTTGTTAAGAACAGATGTCACGCTCATCAGGATTCTCCGGCTTCTAATTAACATAATCAGCTTCTCCACCTCCCTCCTGAATTGTCTGGGATATTTGGATTGCAAATGATAACAAACGTGTGTTTTTTTTTTTTTAAGATTAAAAGTCAAGGATGTTTACGTTGCATCGTGGAGCACAACATGGGGAGCTCATGGTGTTTGTGTACGTGTCTCTGCAGAAACTGTAAGAGCAATGACCCATGTGATAAACCAAGGTATGGCCATGTACTGGGGGACATCCCGCTGGAGCCCAATGGAGATAATGGTGAGAACACAGAAAAACAGATCAACACGAAGGAGAATTATGCATCACGTCATTTTCCTCATTTTATTACCTCGGTATGATTTGGTCTATTTGTTGTTTTCCCTTTAGGAGGCGTACTCCGTGGCGCGGCAGTTTAACCAGATTCCTCCTATATGCGAGCAGGCAGAGTACCACATGTTCCAGAGGGAGAAAGTGGAGGTGCAGCTGCCTGAGCTTTTCCATAAGATAGGTGAGCACTGACGCATTTCTCGCTCTAGATGAAGTATTGATTTTTTATTTTTTTTGCAATGGTAAATTGGGTGCATGTACTGTCTATTTATTATCATTTGCTTCATATTGAACACATGCAGTTGTTTCCACTATCTTCCACTCAGTTCAGCCTGAGCAGAAACGAGTAGAACAGGTTCAAAGATGTAATGTAAGAATAATTACAGCTGGTTTCAGTTTTTGTTCTGAAACCAGAATGCGACTTTTTAAAGTCTTAAACTAAAATAACTAATTAAAAATCATGTTGATCACACAATTTAGATTTTTATGCAAAAACAGCTTAGCCTTTCTGGTGATGCATTTATGTGTCGTACTGTGGTGAATTTGTTATGAAATGATACTGGGAAGTTATTTGTCCTTCCTTTTCTCTGAAGCAAAAGCCAAAATAGTGTGATGCATTTGTACATCTGACTGACAGAACGCAGTGAAAGGCTGGAGAAGGGGGAGAAATGTTTGTCTTTATGTTCATAGAAATAAAGATGCAGCCTCACAGGCCTTGACAGTTTTATAAAAGATCTCTGCAAAGGGAGAAATCACACAGAACATGGAAAGTGCGAACTTTCTCATTTTCTTTTACAGGAGTTACACCATATGTATATCGTGGCACAAACGTTTACCCCTCCCTCTCTCAATAATCTGGTAGCAAATCGCAAACCTTTACGTCTCAAATGATTCAGCACAGTGTCGCACGGGAGAGCAGCATCCTACCGACTTTCCAACACTGAAGAGACTCTGCTGGTCAACTGTAGCGTCACCATTTGGATGGGGGATGGAGGCGAAAGCAGGATGAGCTGTGTGAAGACAACGAAGCAACATTGTCCATCGCCCCGTTAGACAAGGAAAACACATGACCCTAGAAAAAGTTTAAAAAATGTCAGACTTTTAAAAAATATTGCTGTACCTTGAGACTCTCTAAAGCCAACACACATTACTGAGAGACAAGCTTTGAAGTTCAGCTACTGCAGAGGTGTCGCATTTGTTTTCATATCAGGCCACAGCACGTTTACGGATGTTCTCAAAGTTCCAGTTGTGGCAGAATGTGTTGGCAAAACTAAAAACTGTTGCAAATTTTTCTGTGTTTGATTTGTACTTCTTAAAGTACAATTTTGAACGTCTTTTCACATTGATGTAATTTGGTCCTATACAAATGAGATCTGCTCCTGTTTTAGGTGTGGGCGCCATGACTTGGTCTCCGCTGGCCTGTGGGATCATCTCAGGGAAATACGACGGCAGGGTGCCTCCGTACTCTCGGGCGTCTCTGAAGGTAGACCCGGCACCTCTCCGTTCGTCTGTGCCCACTCTCACTGCTCTGTGTCGCCCCTCCCCCACTGGTTGCGGCTCGTTTGTTTCATTGTGCCTCTGTCTCTTTCAGGTTCTGTAGCTCTGCATACTGTGTGCCTGTGTGTGTGTGTGTGTGTGTGTGTGTGTTTTCAGTGCCGTGTTCTCGCCATGCACCTCTACGGCGCCGTCTGTCAGCGAGCCGACTCCGGCCCAGTTCATTTAAATGCACATGATATATATGACATATTCACGTTGAAAATAGCTTTAATCTGACTCTAACAACACCTGAATGAGTTCTTTTTTTTTTTTTTAAAGCAGAAGACGCGTTTTTCTCTAACGTTTTTTTTTTTAAAGTAGTTTTTATGAGGGGAGAAGTCAGGATTTTTCCCCATCAGTGAAATGAGCATTCAGGAAAAACCGTTTGTACTAGCCCCTGATCTTTCACACTGTTGTGTCCCTCTGTGGTGAAGTGGCATGTTTTGTGTGTTGTGGATTGTGTAGCACACAGTGGTTCATGAAGCAGACCCTTTGTGTTGGTGTTGTGCAGTTCCTGCTTCCTGTTTGGCTCAGTGTTGCCTGTAGATGTTGTGTGTCTCTGGCTCGCTGTGTGACCGGTAGCATCCCTTGTTTTGAGACGTTTTGCACCTCAGCTAAGTGGAGCTGTTTCATACTATTAGTACAATAATCAGGACAGGATTTCCATAGCTTTGTGATGATCTAAAAAAAAAACAAAACAAAAAAAAAAAACAAGCAGAATGTGAGCAGGAGCAGCTTTGCTTCCCCCGGCTGAGGCTCTGACAGCTGAAGACAGAGTCACGTGTTTAAAAACGGGCCCTGCTGACACGACGATGTGAGCGGGGCCGTGTTTTTGAGCAGGTGTGCTATGTTTTCAACAGGGCTACCAGTGGTTGAAGGACAAGATCTTGAGCGAGGAGGGCCGGCGTCAGCAGGCGAAGTTGAAAGAGCTGCAGGCAATCGCGGAGCGGCTGGGCTGCACACTGCCCCAACTCGCAATCGGTACGCAGATACACTCTGCCGCTCTCTCTCTTTCTGTCTGTCTGTCCGTCCCTCGGCCTCGGACGGGCCCGGGGTCAGCGGCGCTCTCGCAGCTGTCTGAGTTCTCTGTCGTGTTGTCACGTGTGTGTCTGTCTCGGTGTGAAAGCCTCGCAGCGTAGGATCATGAATGCGAGGGACGTAAACACACAGTAAACATGCCTCTGACTCATTCCTTTAATAAGAGCGGAGACGCCGTGAGTGTCGACACATGGCATGCAAACACATGGAGTAATCTGAGGTTGTCTCATGCATTTAACAGCTTCGAGTCTCTGCATCAAAACAGGATCCCTGGAATTAATCCGCAGGTGACAGATATCTAGTCGCTGCTGGCAGCAGAGCCAGAAACCCCACCGTCAAACGTTAGCTATGAGGTGAATAAATCCGAGACTCAGTCTGCAATCTCAGATTAGATCGCTGCCGTTTCTTCACCCCCACTGTAAAATACTGTCATAAATCAAGTTTCACGCCCCATTAGTCGACAGCCAATTCCCATAACTCCTTTCTGGGCTTCTGAAGGCAGCACAGCAGATTTATGCGTACTGTGGAGTCCTTTTCACTCCAGCGTTGAATTAAAACTGTGATTGATACCATTCTGCCTTTAGCTTGAGGCTGTGTTGGCGAAGCAGGTGTTAAATTCAGGATTTAGAGAGTGAATGTGACAAGTGGATGAAGTTAAGCTAAGTTGTTGGTCTTTTCCCTGCCGCCAGGCATCGTGCACTCGTGACAAATCCAGAGGAAAAAGCTTCAACTGTTCCCGTTTTCTGGGTTGTATTTCCAGTTTGGCGGAGGAATTGTGTTGAATCGTAATCCCACTATTTTTACAGCAACATTTTGCCTCCCTTTGTGCTGTAATCTGCTTACAACTACAGCTTCCTGAATTGCAGAAGCATTCAGTTGTATTGCATAATACAGCTACCAATTAAAACAGCACACCAAGCAGGAGTGTGGTATTTTTGTGTCGATTTGTTCAGAATGATCGCAGAATGTCAGGTTTCCTGCTTGTTCTCAGCAGCGTTCGCTGATGAAATCCTCAAAAAAATGCTTTGCACAACCTTGCTTTTAGATAGGTTTGCAGTTTTTCTTTTCTGCTGAAGTATAAATGTAGCCGTTTCTTTAAAGCAGAGACGCACAACCTTAGATACAAATGAAAAAGCAAATATATAAAAAGAGAAGATCTAGTTTTACTCCAGATAAACCTCCTGTGTCATGTTTAGTGTCGCGTTAATGTTTTTGTGTACAGCATCCAACTTTAAAGACCCACAAATCACACAAACTGTCATAAATACCAATTTAAAGATGCACACCATAAATTCTAGCTCAGCAAATAGGACTGTCTTCATGCCACATTGCACCACCGCATAAAGAAAAAACCATCTCCCAAATGTAAATGTTCTTCAGAGTCTTAAAGATGTGTGAGAGTTCCCAGGCCGATTGAGCTCTTTCAACATTTCTGTGGTGGGATTGTTGTGGTTCGCTGTTTCAACGGCAACATATCTGGGTCCTGGAGGAGCCTGGTGGCAGCAGCTAATCCACAGTATGTGGCCTGAGTCCGTGCGACTGCGGCCTTGCTAGCCTGTCGCCAAGACTGCGACCTTATCATGCCCAATATTAGGCTGGCAGCACTTTTTATTAAGGTAATGAAACTCTCTTGGCGAGGACAGGCAGGAGACAGAGAAAAGGGAAGAAAAAGTTGTTCCCCTTATGATGTGATATTACAAATCATTCAAAACAAATTCTGGCTCCAGAGGCTCTGTGTGATGAACTCGCAGTGATCAGCAAAAGATCTGCAAATGTTTTATGAGTGATTTGCTCTCGCGTCAACACGACCTGAGAAACATGCAGAGCGCTTCTCTGGATCAATACTGAAACTGATTGTGGAGGTGCAGAAACCTCACAAACGTATGTAGGCAGTTTCTGCAGGTTATTAAGTGCAGATGTGATATCGGTAGTGTCGTTTTAAGGTGGCAGGTCATTACAGCTTGATTACTTTTTCAATCAGGACCGTGCTTTCCCCAGGTTTGGGTAATTTATTTAGTGTTATTGAGACTCGACGACGCCTCTGTGTCATTCGCTACACAACACACGTATCCAAGTCGCTCTGAGTGACTCTGCAGGACAGAGAACCGAGGTATGAGATACTCTTTTATGTACAATCAAGGAAAATGAAGAAAGTTAATGTACATCTATTTAAAACTGTGTGTGATTTAATGTTTTACCCAGTTTTGCTGTAGATCAATTATAGATTCACTATGTGAAATGGTGTCATGCTGTGCAGCATATGTTTGTGTGTGTGTGTGTGAGTCATGGATGTGGCCCTGTGTGTGTGTGTGTGTGTGTGTGTGAGGTGGTGGGGACGTCATCAGTGTTTACTGGTCTCCTGCAGCGTGGTGCCTACGGAACGAGGGGGTGAGCTCTGTCCTTTTAGGGGCGTCCAACACCGACCAGCTGATGGAGAACATAGGAGCGATCCAGGTGAGGCCGCTGAACCTTCCTCTTTGTTTTCCCCTCTTTTCTGTTCCTGCAGAGCGCATTAAAAGTTTCCCCTCTTCAAAAGAATGGGACGGGGAGGCCATCTAATCGGATTCGTATTCGTGCCTTCCGGCGCGGAGCGGCAGTTCTTCCGCTCCCGAGTGCAGCTTGTCCTCCTGGGCAGCTCACCGCTGCACGCTCTCTTGCTTTACTGTACCGCGTTAATAAGGTCAGCCCAGTATCATTTGCCGAGGGGATTGGAGACGAGCTCACGGCCACTTCTTTCTCTGCTGATAAGGCTCGCTCTTTTAATGGGGTTCGCATACTGGTGGGGGCTTTGGGTTCTCACTTCACATTATTCCTGGCCCACAGTGAAGAGCATCCCCCGCCCCCTCCCCCACCCCACCGTCTCCTCCAGTTTGATGCTTTGCCTTCACTCCTGACTGTGTTTGCGCTTGTGCACACTAAATCCGCTCCCACTGTGTGCATTTGATATTTCGGCTTCAAAATGTTACCCTCACATTTCCCGAGGCGTTTGCAGTTTTCTTCTTGCCAGACCTTTTTATCCTAGACCCTGAATTAGAACACAGTCTCACATGTAAATTAGTTTTCCTTTAAGAAGTCCAGAGAAATATATTTTCCATTTAATTTCTACACTTTCAATGTATTATGTTCATAGTTTTAACGATTGTTTTAGTAATTATCAGTTACGCCAACGATTAATCGGATAAGAACACTGGCACTTTCTGCAGATTTTTCCTTTAACTGTTTCAGCCTTTTTTATGCAATGTCACAATACGTTAAAAGACAAATAAATAATTCAATTACCTTTTTAAGTAAGAAAAGGATTTTATTTCCTAAAATGCAATAACATTCCTTTAGCGTACACTTGATCGTTTGTTGCAATCAAGTATGGATATGCAGCTAAAAAACTACTTCTAAAATGACTATAAAATATTTACAAAGATTTTCTTTAATCTTAAATGCAAAATATATATATTTGTAGGGCAGTTTTGGTGTAATATTGGTCTCATTATGCTTTTCCTTCAGCAAACGGCCCGTTTTATGTCTGTATACCCCAGTTAATTAATTGAATTGCAAGAAGCTTTTTAGATGGAAACTTTATTTCCCAAGACAAACCTGGACTTTATTCAGTTTGCTAATCAAAAGAGATTTCTGTATCTGGCAGGTTGAATCTCAATTTGGTCTCTCAGTTGGATGTGCCTGGAAAACCTCTAATATTCTGCGTAATGATCTTATGTCTTCCTATGTGCTACTGTTTAAAGAGGAATCTGCCAAATCAGTATTAACAGGTCAGAAATCTGACATAAAACTCGGTAAATGTTTTACAGCACAAATAATAAGCAGATCTGGTAAAATAAGTTGCTTTTTTTTTCTCCGTTTTTGTAACAGCGGCTATGAATTCAGCGTCATGTTTGTGTGTGTTCACAGGTTCTTCCAAAGTTGTCGTCGTCCATCACCCACGAGGTGGACAGCATCCTGGGGAACAAGCCGTACAGTAAAAAGGACTACCGCTCCTAACGGGCCCGACGGCCCCGCCCGGCAGGGCTGCACCCGGCCTGCAGCCGCAGCGCCCCACCTTTGCCTGATCCTCTGTTTGCTTGAGCTTTTACTGAGTGAGACCCTGGCGCATGAGTCTGGCCTCACCACGGCCACGCAGGGCACCTCATTTAGAGTTACAGAGATGAGAAAAAGTGGGAATAGATCGAGTCACCTCTACGGAACGGGACGGGATTAATGGAGAAAAACAGAACAGTAAGAGAGGTTAGGAATATGCGCTCATAAGTAAATCAGTTATACATCCTATTCAGCTGAACGTACTTTAAAATCATGGAGAAAATTAAGGAGAAACATCTTTTTAAAAAAAATTAAATAAGCACACGCTTGCTTGGCAGCCAGATTTTTTTTTTTTAAAAAAAAAA